TTAAGGCCAAAACGTTGTGTAGTTTTAAAAATAAGTTAGATAAATACATGAGTGGGTGTGGGTGGGTGTGAGTTGGACCTGATTAGCTTGTGCTACTAGGTCAGTTGCCGTGTTCCTTCCTTAAGTGAATGTGACCTGACCTGACTAGGTTGGGGCATTGGCTTAAGCCGGTAGGAGACTTGGACCTGCCTCGTATGGGCCAGTAGGCCTGCTGCAGTGTTCCTTCTTTCTTATGTTCTTAACAGTGGTACCGAGCAGCGACTCAGGGAGAACCCCCTCCATATGATAGAAGCTGGTCCAGAGCGCAGTGTACCGCCATCCATCGGCTTCGTTTGGGCTTTCCCACAGCCAAGATGATGGTAGACAAGGCTGAGGAGGAGATGTGCAAGTACTGTCAGCACGTTTTTCAGCGGCCCCTAACACACTATCTTCTGGATCGCGAAGTTACTGAGACACTCCGCAGGCAACTAGGAGTGATATTCCCTCCCGAAGAGGACCCAGAGATGACTGCGGCCACACTAGTGTACCATGGAGTCAACGATCCAGACAACCTGTGATAACGACATATCCTCCTCCTCGCTAGTGTCCATAGTTACATATGGTGTCGCTTATGAGATGCACCAGTTGAACTGATGATGCGACAACACAATGATGCGACGCATGCCGCTTGAGCGGCATGCGCCGCATCATTATGGAAACCTAAGGAGGTGAGGTGAGGCAAGAGAGGGACCTGCTGGCATCAAGTAACACCAGTTCCCAGGATGGGTAATATCCTCTTGGTTAGTAATTTTGAAATACTGTAACTACCGGATTTTTGCTTTATAGTGTTACTGACAGAAATTAGTGCAGCTTCAATGCATTTTCTCCGTCTTAAGTCGTCTTCTTTAATAACTAGTTTAGCTTCATTGAATTTCATGAGGTGTCCAACATCGTCTCTATGTTGAACACATGCGTTTTTGCGGTCATCATTTCTGCAAGCATTTTTGTGTTCTGCTATTCTAATGTCCAGAGTTCTGGCTGTTTCCCCTACATATACTTTGTCACACCCCCCACATGGTATAGTGTAGATTCCTGCACTTGTGCCAGAATCATGCTTGGGTTTTTGTATCAGGTTCCTAATAGTAGTTGAAGAGCTGGTAGATATTTTAGCCAGTTTTCTGTCAAACATTTTTGAAACATTAGTGGCAACGTTGCTGACCGGTAAAACGATGTAACTTGGAGGCTTTTCTTCAATTTGATAGGTGTTGGTCTTGCTGAGGATACGTGTTGCACGTTTCCTGCAGTCACGTATGAAGTGTAGGGGAAAGTGTAGTGAACTAAAAGATTTGGTGATGTATGTACATCACGAGGGATGTTACGAGGGATGTTATTGAGGATCCTCAATAACATCCCTCGTTCAATTACTTGGATGCGGTACGTAGATGATATTTTGGTCATTGTACCCAAAAATCTTGACGTACAGGGCATCCTCAACACCATCAACAATCTGGAACCTACTATTAAATTTACTCTAGAGGAGGAGAAGGATAACCAGTTACCTTTTCTCGACGTTCTCTTACGCACAGGGGAAAACAAACTTTCTTTTAAAGTCTACCGGAAGCCTACCTACAAGAATGATCTTCTACATTTCTTCTCTCACCATGACACAAGAACTAAAAGAGGGGTAGTTATTGGCTTCTTTCTGAGAGCCTACAGAATTTCCAGTCCGCAGTTCCTCGAAGAAGAATGTACATACATCACCAAATCTTTTAGTTCACTACACTTTCCCCTACACTTCATACGTGACTGCAGGAAACGTGCAACACGTATCCTCAGCAAGACCAACACCTATCAAATTGAAGAAAAGCCTCCAAGTTACATCGTTTTACCGGTCAGCAACGTTGCCACTAATGTTTCAAAAATGTTTGACAGAAAACTGGCTAAAATATCTACCAGCTCTTCAACTACTATTAGGAACCTGATACAAAAACCCAAGCATGATTCTGGCACAAGTGCAGGAATCTACACTATACCATGTGGGGGGTGTGACAAAGTATATGTAGGGGAAACAGCCAGAACTCTGGACATTAGAATAGCAGAACACAAAAATGCTTGCAGAAATGATGACCGCAAAAACGCATGTGTTCAACATAGAGACGATGTTGGACACCTCATGAAATTCAATGAAGCTAAACTAGTTATTAAAGAAGACGACTTAAGACGGAGAAAATGCATTGAAGCTGCACTAATTTCTGTCAGTAACACTATAAAGCAAAAATCCGGTAGTTACAGTATTTCAAAATTACTAACCAAGAGGATATTACCCATCCTGGGAACTGGTGTTACTTGATGCCAGCAGGTCCCTCTCTTGCCTCACCTCCTTAGTTCCATTACTACTACTACTACTATTACCACTTCTACCCACGCTTCACCTCACCTGACTCCCACCACTATATATATGTGTGTTTTCTTAGTTTTCTCTGTATTAGGACTGAAGAAGCCACTCGTGGCGAAACGTTTCCTTTAATAAATGTCCTGAACTGTACATAAGTGTCTTTTTCCACATCTTGTCGGTATCACCATACCATTTCCTCATTATGGAAACCTTTCTCCATCGGGAGCCAGAGACGGGTCATCGTAAGATTGGGACCCGTGGCGAACATTATACATACATGCGTCTGCTTCAGAATCTCCACGACTACGGTGCTCTTCGCACCTACTCCAAGGTTGAGGGACTGATTACCTCATCTTCTGTATATAGTACTACTGTCTTCAAGCTATGTCCTAGAATTTGTATTGATAAAGCCACTGGATGGCGAAACGTCTACAATAAAGATACCCAGATGTTGCACATGTGTCTTAATTTCATCTTGTCGGTATTATATACCATTCTTGCACAGGTCCCTCTCTAGCCTAACCTCCTTAGTTCCACTACGACTACCACCTCTACCCACGCGTCACTTCACCTAACTCCTGCCACTATATATATGCGTTTTCTTCGTTTTCTCTGTATTAGGACTGAAGAAGCCACTCGTGGCGAAACGTTTCCTTTAATAAATGTCCTGAACTGTACATAAGTGTCTTTTTCCACATCTTGTCGGTATCACCATACCATTTCTTCTTATGTTCTATAAAACCTATTACTTGGGTAACATGAAAATAGGTTAGACAAATGTTTCTATTGGAGGTTGGATTAGAGAAGGTCTGTTTCAGTGTTCATCCTCTATAATGTGACTTGAATAAGCCCACTGAGTGGACGGAACATTGTCAATAAAGGATTATACTACTACTACTACTATTATTACTACTACTACTTGGTCTTCGTGTGATGTGTTGGGGAATATACTTATAGGGCCCTCATACTGAAGGAATGCTAGATGCGATTTATTGCTGGTGAAGATCAAGAATAGACAGTGGATACGATGGATGCAGTGAATATTGCGGATACGAAGAATACTGTGGATACAGCGGATACAGTAAATACTGTAGATACAGCGGATACAGTAAATACTGTAGATACAGCGGATACAGTAAATACTGTAGATAAAGTAGATTCATTACCTCCTTTTGTACCAAGAATACCGCGATGGACAAGTGATGTAAGTAGACGATATTCTGGTACAAACCTTGGAAATAGATACACAAATAACTCGCACATAGAGGAAAGAAACTTACGACGACGTTTCGGTCCGACTTGAACCATTTACAAAGTGAAAGTTAAGACGCATGTGCAACATCTGGATATCTTTATTGTAGTAGACGTTTCGCCATCCAGTGGCTTTATCAATACAGATTCTAGGACATAATAGGTAATCAGTCCCTCGGGACTGATTACCTCATCTTTTGTATATAGTTCTACTGTCTTCCTATTATGTCCTAGAATCTGTATTGATAAAGCCACTGGATGGCGAAACGTCTACTACAATAAAGATATCCAGATGTTGCACATGTGTCTTAACTTTCATATTGTCGGTATTTTATACCTTTCTTGCACATTTACAAAGTAGTCACACTAATGGATACCAACAAGTTATTTAATAGAAGAGGTCTTCTAATAAACATATCTAGTGTTTGGCCACGTCTTGCAAACGAGCTGGAATTATGATTATTTTTTTGGTTATGTGATATGGGTTCGATTTGATTACAGACGATTCTCTTGGGGAATCGTGCCTAAACTACTTTTGTGTGTTTTTTTTTTTTAGTTAGGTTAGAAGTATAGTTAAGTAACAGACACAAATGCAACTAATGTGACATATTATTCCGTTCAGTTAATACGGAACCTTCAGCATTGATTCCTTTGTTATCACTTTAATTCTTAAGTGTACTAAAATTAAGTATTCGTATTTGTTTTAGTAAACTAACAACTGTTTCATTATTGCAGAGGTGGAAATATAAACACATATGCAGTATAATGTGATCCTTTATTGACAACGTTTCACCCACACAGTGGGCTTTTTCAAGTCACACACGGATCTACCTGGGGTGGAAGGTACGGGAGTATTTATAGTCATGTTCAGAATGTTGAGGTCAGGTGGAGAATGCTGCATCTGATGATCATTCTGAACATGACTATAAATACTCCCGTACCTTCCACCCCAGGTAGATCCGTGTGTGACTTGAAAAAGCCCACTGTGTGGGTGAAACGTTGTCAATAAAGGATCACATTATACTGCATATGTGTTTATATTTCCATTGTGTCGGTATTTTATACCATTTATTTCCATTGCAGAGGTGCATCGACTTGTTGCTGGAATTTGACGCTGAGTACGAGCGCAAGTTGAAGGAAGCCAAGGTAGATATCACGGCCATTTATATAGTTCATACTCGTTCATACTCGTTCATACAGTCCACAACCCAATTCGCTAATAAACGAGTTGGGTTGTGGATTGTATGAACGACCCATTGGGCACCACAATGTACTTCCCATCTCTATTACGCGCCCCATTCCCCATTATCCTCGGAATTTATCGCCACTCCTATGTGCAGACACGTCACAAATCCAATTTTTATTATGAATAACAATTATTCAATATAAACCTTTGTACTTCATTTTTATTTTAAATTATTCATTTAACATTGTCACTAACCCTTTTTTGTGGACTGTTAGTGTTTTCATGTGACAGTACGCAGTATGTAACTAGAGTTTTCATGCTACATAACATAGGGCATGTAGCCATACTTCATTACTCACTGCAGGAGTCAGTGAGCACAGGAAGGTCCCGCAGGAAGAGGACCCGCAAAGCGGTGCCCAAAATAGAGACGCAGCCTCCCAGAGAGAGGGAACAATGGAGTAACCCCCGGGAGTTCCTGTTGTCTTGCATCGCCATGTCCGTGGGTCTTGGGAATGTTTGGAGGTTCCCGTTCGTGGCCCTGGAGAATGGCGGAGGAGCCTTCCTCGTCCTATATATATTTGTTCTTTTCTTCATCGGAAGGCCTCTCTACTACATGGAACTTTGTATGGGTCAGTTCTCCTCTCTTGGCTCCGCCAAGGTGTGGGAGATGTCACCAGCATTCCGAGGTAAGAGACAGCATCAATGATTATCTTTTTTCTCTTATGACATTTACAATATTTCATCTATTTTTTTAGTGTTTAATTTTTAATTTTAATGTTATATAAACGCATGATTATCTCTATCTTGCACCATCTTCATACTTTTATTACAGGAGTGGGCTACGGCCAGGCCATTGCTGCCATGGCGGTGGTGACATACTGCGTCTTCCTTATGGGTCTCACCGTTCACTACTTTTTCGCCTCCTTCGCTAGCGTTTTACCATGGGCTGAGTGTGGGAACTGGTCTGACAACTATTGCGTGGATGTCAACAATACGGAGGTCCAGCTGGGCATTAATTCCACCGACTTAACTTCCGTTGCTGAGGAATATTTCTCGTGAGTGTTTAACTCTCAGTTTTATGTTTATGGAGAAGTTCTAAACCTATATATTATTAATTTACCTTTAGATGAGTTTAAAATCGATGAGCTACGTTCTTTAACTTTTACAATTGCCTCAAATCTACCTTGCTTTCACGAACTGATTAAAACATCTCAAAATAATTATAAAATGGTCCAAAATATTGACCATTTTATATTTCATAATGCAAATGATTCTATTTTATTTACATTTCTAGGTGTTTTAACCACAGTTTGTCATTAATTTAATCTTTAAATTCCATGTCAATCAACAGAAAGAAAGTGCTGAACTTAGATCCATTGGGTCTTAGTAATGGTCTGGGAAATCCCGAGTGGCGTCTCATGCTGTGTCTGCTCTTGTCTTGGGTGATACTCTTCATGGTATTGATCAAGGGCGTGCACAGCTCTGGCAAGGCTGCTTACTTCTTTGTCATCTTCCCGTACTTCGTGCTTATTGTCATGCTGGTTCGAGGAACCTTGTTGCAAGGAGCCCTGGAAGGTTTTCTCTTCTTCATTACGCCAAGATGGGAAAAACTCATGGAACCAGAGGTAAGATGGATTTACATTTTGATAAATTAGACATATGTGAAACACACCATTCAACATTGTTTATGTTGTAGTTTGATGTAAGATACAAATAAGATATTGTAATAAAGTTGGTAGAATTACCGACAATATGTAAAGTAAAAGGACACAAGTGCAACTAATGTGACATTTATTGTGGCAACGTTTCGCTCTCCAGGAGCTTTATCAAGCTTGATAAAGCTCCTGGAGAGCGAAACGTTGCCACAATAAATGTCACATTAGTTGCACTTGTGTCCTTTTACTTTACAAATAAGATATTAATGGACATGCTCTGGGTGCGTCACTAATAAAGTCTGTCTTTCAGGTGTTATACGCCGCTATACACCAGTCATTCTTCAGCCTCTCTGTTGGTTTCGGGTCAGTTATGATGTTTTCCTCATTCAACAAATTCCGCTACAACTTTTACCGGGACACCAATATCATCTGCATCGCCGACACTGTTACTTCACTCCTCGCTGGCATCACCACCTTCGTTATTTTAGGCCACCTAGCGGAGGAGCTCGGCGTCGATATTGAGCACGTTATTAAGAGTGGCGGAACTTCCCTTATGTTCGTTAGTTATCCTGACGTACTGTCCAGGTTCCAGTACGTCCCTCAGTTATTCTCCGTGATGTTTTTCCTCATGCTCTTCACCTTGGGCTTGGGCACTGCCTCTGCACTCATAAACTCCATTACAACAATAATTTGCGACGATTTTCCCCACTTAAAGAAGCAGATCGCAACAGTGAGTGTCTGTACCGCGGGATTTTACTTGGGTCTGTTCTACGCCACTCCTCAGGGCCAGTTCGTCCTTGAGCTTGTCAACCACTATGGCGGTGTAAGTATTTTTCTTACTAGCTTAAATCTGCCGAGATTCTTAGTTTATAGTTATGCACATATAATGTAATTTATCAAATAACTCTCAGTTAATTCTGGATCGGTTTACTGTAGCAAGCATTTGTTTTTCTACAGGGCTTCATCGTCTTTGTCTTGATGATTGTCGAGATTGTTGGTGTCCATTGGGTGTACGGTGTTAACAACTTCTGCCGCGACATTGATTTTATGTTGGGCAGGAAGACTGGCCTCTTCTGGAAAATCTCATGGGCCTTCCTCATCCCTCTGCTACTCTCTGTAGTCTTCATCTACGGCCAGATCACTGGCAAGCCACTGGCAGTCGGCTCATACGTCTTCGAACCTCTTGTTATAGGTGAGATTTTTAAACTATATTCAAGTTCAGTGATGAAGAATTAGACACAAATATAGACAAAACATGTTTCTAATATTAATTCTTCATCTTGTTGGTACTGTATACCGTATACTGTATACCTAGGAGAGCTGCTACAGTGTGATGTAAATAGTTCATCTGTTACATTCTTGTGTTCCTCAGGTGTGGGTATTTGCCTGGCCGTCCTGGCATGTCTGATGGTGCCAATCTTCTTCGTGGTAGAGGTGTCACGTCGGCGTGACGAAGATACCTCAGTGTGGCAAGCTGTGGTGAAGACCTTCAAGACCAGTGATGAGTGGTGTCCCAGAGACCCCGACCTACGTCAGGGATACAGCCTCTTCACTTCTGCAGCAGAGAACACCACTCCTGTTTGAGACTTGAGCGCATCTGGGAAACAGACAAATCCAGTCGCATTTTAATTTTCTTAAGGTTAATTTTAGCAATAAAATTCTACAAGAAATTCGTGTATTATTCGTAAATTTTCTATAAAAACAACATATCCTTTCTTATGCCCTACTAGATATTTCAGCCTATTATTCATCCATTTTGGGTCATTTCTATTTGATCTAATTTCTTTATATGGGATAAACGTTCTTTGAGCAGCATGTATAGTGTTCAGAAAACTGTCATATTGATAGCTCACTTCGTTACCCCAGTCAACAGATGATAAGTGTTCTCTAAGCCCATCGTAATCTGCTAAGCGAAAATCTGGGACTGTTACTGAGTTATCCCTACTATCATACTTTCATTCAATGCTAAATGTAATTGATTTGTGGTTGCTAGCACCCAGTTCCTCTGAAACTTCTAAATTATTAACAAGGGATTCATTGTTTGCCAGAACTAAGTCAAGCAGGTTATTACCCCTTGTAGGTTCTGTCACAAACTGCTTCAAAAAACAAACCTGAACTACTTCTAAGAAGTCGTATGATTCTAAATTCCCAGTCAAGAAATTCCAATCAATATGACTAAAGTTAAAGTCTCCTAGAATTACTACATTATCGTGCCTTGTGGCCCTAACAATTTCCTCCCATAGTAGTCTCCCTTGGTCCCTATCTAAGTTTGGGGGACGGTATGTCACACCTAAAATTAATTTTTCATGCCCCTCTGAAAATTCTATCCAAACAGACTCTCTTGCGCAGGAAAATTAACGATTCACTTGATCTTCCTATTCCAGCCAGCGATTTCATCGACCTTGTTGAACTTTTATCTACATTGACTTGTTAATACATTGACTTGTTAATAATTTAGAAGTTTCAGAGGAACTGGGTGCTAGCGACCACAAATCAATTACATTTAGCATTGAATGGAAGTATGATAGTAGCGATAACTCAGTAACAGTTCCAGATTTTCGCTTAGCAGATTATGATGGGCTTAGAGAACACTTATCATCTGTTGACTGGAGTAACGAAGAGAGCTATCAACATGACAGTTTTCTGAACACTATACATGCTGTGGAAAGACACTTATGTACAGTTCAGGACATTTATTAAAGGAAACGTTTCGCCACGAATGGCTTCTTCAGTCCTAATACAGAGAAAACTAAGAAAACATTTATATATATAGTGGCAGGAGTCAGGTGAGGTGACGCGTGGGTAGAGGTGGTAGTAGTAGTAGTAGTTTTGTAGATGAATGGTTCAGAGAACCGACATGTTGATAAATTAGACACATGTGCAACTCTTGGGTATCTTTATTGAGGAAACGTTTCCTCAATAAAGATACCCAAGAGTTGCACATGTGTCTAATTTATCATCAGTAGTAGTAGTAATGGAACTAAGGAGGTGAGGTTAGAGAGGGACCTGCTGGCATCAAGTAACACCAGTTCCCAGGATGGGTAATATCCTCTTGCTTAGTAATTTTGAAATACTGTAACTACCGGATTTTTGCTTTATAGTGTTACTGACAGAAATTAGTGCAGCTTCAATGCATTTTCTCCGTCTTAAGTCGTCTTCTTTAATAACTAGTTTAGCTTCAGTGAATTTCATGAGGTGTCCAACATCGTCTCTATGTTGAACACATGCGTTTTTGCGGTCATCATTTCTGCAAGCATTTTTGTGTTCTGCTATTCTAATGTCCAGAGTTCTGGCTGTTTCCCCTACATATACTTTGTCAAACCCCCACATGGTATAGTGTAGATTCCTGCACTTGTGCCAGAATCATGCTTGGGTTTTTGTAACAGGTTCCTAATAGTATCAGGGATCTCGACATGAGTGATAAGAAGCTTGCAAGTTTTGACGTGACTGCCTTATTCACCAATGTCCCAGTTGATCAAGCCATTGAACTTCTTCGCAGAGTGATTAAAGATGATACAGAGTTACCTGTACCCCGCCAAGATTTTGTGAGCCTTGTCGAACTTTGTGTTCGTTATAACTGTTTTAGGTTTGAGGACAAGAAGTACAAACAACTCTTCGGACTAGCCATGGGATCCCCCCTTAGTGCAGTTCTTGCCAATTTATATATGGAGGACCTGGAATCAAGAAGGATCCTCAGTAACATCCCTCGCTCAGTTACATTGATGGCGGCACGTAGATGATATTTTTGGTCATTGTACCCAAAAATCTTGACGTACAGGGCATCCTCAAGACCATCAAGACTCTGGAACCTACTGTTAAATTTACACTAGAGGAGGAGAAGGACAACCAATTACCTTTTCTCGACATTCTCTTACGCACAGGGGAAAACAAACTTTCTTTTAAAGTCTACCGGAAGCCTACCTACAAGAACGATCTTCTACATTTCTTCTCTCACCATGACACAAGAACTAAAAGAGGGGTAGTTATTGGCTTCTTTCTGAGAGCCTACAGAATTTCCAGTCCACAGTTCCTCGAAGAAGAATGTACATACATCACCAACTCTTTTAGTTCACTGCACTTTCCCCTACACTTCACACGTGACTGCAGGAAACGTGCCCGGCGAATACTCGCCGGGCACTTGCTATGAGTAACATCAACGTTTCCACCATAAACACATCCTCTATCAAAGACCTCACTACAAAACGCAGCACCACACCTCTAACTTCTACAGCAGGCGTCTACACTATCCCCTGTGGGTTCTGTCCCAAGAAATATGTAGGCGAGACAGGCAGAGATCTTGCAGTCCGCCTGAATGAGCATCGAAATGCCTCTAACAGAGACGATGTAAGGTACGCCTGTGTCCTCCACAGAGACTCCACGGGGCATTTGATGAACTGGAATGAGGCACAACTCGTTCTCACCGAACCAGACCTCAGACGCCGGCGGTGCCTAGAAGCCTCACTAATCGCCGTCACCGACACTATAGAACGCAACACTGGAAACTACAAAATTTCAAAAACATTGGCATACATGATACTTAAGCAGCACCAACCCAACAACACAGGAGTCACATGATTTCATCGTCTACCCGTCCTCATCATAGGTAGAGGTTGTGCAAGAAAGGTATAAAATACCGACAATATGAAAGTTAAGACACATGTACAACATCTGGAAATCTTTATTGTAGACGTTTCGCCATCCAGTGGCTTTATCAATACAGATTCTAGGACATAATAAAAAACAGTGAAATATACAAAAATGAAGTAATCGTCCTCAGCCTTGAGTTAGTGTTTCAACAGCATCGTGGTGGAGGAGAAACTGGGAGCAAAAGGCAAGAAGGGCTGGCGGTTATATAGGCGTCTGGATAGGGACGGGCAGCAGACGAGGGCAAAGTCACTGGTAGGGGGGGATTCCCCAGTGGAAGTAGGTCCTTCTTATTATTCCTAGAATCTGTATTTATAAAGCCACTGGATGGCGAAACGTCTACAATAAGATTTCCAGATTTTTGCACATGTGTCTTAACTTTCATATTGTCGGTATTTTATACCTTTTTTTGCACAACTTGTCAGACACTGCAACACATGGAATCTTGGTTCAGAGGACATCTACAAGACCTTCTTCACGGCTGCTGCAACTAACCCATCTCTTTGGGAAGACCTACTTCCACTGGGGAATCCCCCCTACCAGTACTTTGCCCTCGTCTGCTGCCCGTCCCTATCCACTGACGCCTATATAACCCCAGTCTTCTTGCCTTTGCTCCAGTTTCTCCTCCCCACGATGCTGTGAACACTAACTCCAAGGCTGAGGGACTGATTACCTCATCTTTTGTATATAGTTCTACTGTCTTCTTATTTAAAGTCCCAGAATCTGTATTGATAAAGCCACTGGATGGCGAAACGTCTACAAAAAAGATTTCCAGATGTTGTTACATGTGTCTTAACTTTCATATTGTCGGTATTTTATACCTTTCTTGCACAAACTTGGGCAGACACTGCAACATCATGGAATCTTGGTTCAGAGGACATCTACAAGACCTTCTTCACGGCTGCTGCAACTAACCCATCTCTTTGGGAAGGACCTGCTTCCACTGGGGAATCCCGCCTACCAGTGACTTTGCCCTCGTCTGCTGCCGGTCCCTATCCACTGACGCCTATATAACCGCCAGTCTTCTTGCCTTTGCTCCAGATTCTCCTCCACCACGATGCTGTGAACACTAACTCCAAGGCTGAGGGACTGATTACCTCATCTTTTGTATATAGTTCTACTGACTTCTTATTATGTCCTAGAATCTGTATTGATAAAGCCACTGGATGGCGAAACGTCTACAATAAAGATTTCCAGATGTTGTACATGTGTCTTAACTTTCATATTGCAAGCCGCTAACCAGACTGAGAGTCGAAGATCAAAATGAATTTTTTATGAGAGAGCCACAAAATTTGATTAACACAAGCCTATCCGATGTTATCCTGACGCCAAATGACTTCGAACAGGCGATAAATGACATGCCCATGCACTCTGCCCCAGGGCCAGACTCATGGAACTCTGTGTTCATCAAGAACTGCAAGAAGCCCCTATCACGAACCTTTTCCATCCTATGGAGAGGGAGCATGGACACGGGGGTCGTCCCACAGTTACTAAAAACAACAGACATAGCCCACTCCACAAAGGGGGCAGTAAAGCAACAGCAAAGAACTACAGACCAATAGCACTAACCCATCCCATATCATAAAAATCTTTGAAAGGGTCCTAAGAAGCAAGATCACACGCATCTTGAAACCCATTAGTTACACAACCCAGGGCAACATGGGTTTAGAACAGGTCGCTCCTGTCTGTCTCAACTATTGGACCACTACGACAAGGTCCTAAATGCACTAGAAGACAAAAAGAATGCAGATGTAATATATACAGACTTTGCAAAAGCCTTCGACAAGTGTGACCATGGCGTAATAGCGCACAAAATGCGTGCTAAAGGAATAACAGGAAAGTCGGTCGATGGATCTATAATTTCCTCACTAACAGAACCACAGAGAGTAGTCGTCAACAGGGGTAAAGTCCGAGGCAGCTACGGTGAAAAGCTCTGTTCC